AGATATGGAGTCCGGCGAGGAAAATAGAGATACTGAAGAACACGAAGCTTTCGATAGCATGATGAATGAAGTCAGGTCTGCAAACGAGGAGGAATGGAATCAAAAGTATGAGAAATACGTAAATGAAAATATGTCTGAAGGCGAAGACCAGGAGAGAGCAAACGAAAAGATGAAATCTAAAGACATGGATCTATTTAACGAAAATTACGGGTCAATTATCCGGTACAATCTTCAGTTACAAGACGGATTGGTTCACGTGAAAGTCATGGAAGATGTCGTAGAATTCGTTGACGATGGTTATGAGGATCGCAAAGCGATCAAGATGGCACTCAAAAAGAACCGTTATGTCTTAGAAGAGATGTTGGATGATGATGAATCCGAAGATGAGGATAATGAAGAGGAAGAGCCTGAGAATTCTGAAGAAGAAAACTAATAAACGAATCAATCCATCAAACGAACCTCATACAACGTCTAGAACTCGATGAAGAAGGATGTCTGCTTGGGAAGATTATTTAAGAGACATTTATTACGATCCTACCAATGCTGGGAGTTTCACTGGACCCGATAAATTGTATCGATACGTGAGAAATGCTGGAAAATACGTCATCAGTAAATACAAGATAAGAAAATGGTTACAGCGACAAAAACCGTACAGTCTTCAGCGATCCATCCGACAACCATTCAAACGAAACAGAATCTTGGTGACAGGAATCGACGACCAATGGTCTGCCGATCTCATGAACATGGTCAAGTTTCAGAAAGAAAACAACGGTTATTCCTACGTACTCGTGGTGATAGACGTGTTCTCAGAATTTCTATGGATGAAACCTCTAAAAAACAAAACAGGGGCATCCGTAACAAAAGCTCTTCGTGAGATTCTCAGCGAGGGGAGACAACCTAACAGGATCCGCACCGATAAGGGGCAAGAATTCAGATCCAAGGAAGTAAACTCTCTCCTAAATCAATACCATATCCAGCATCTTTATGCCCAAAACGAAACCAAGGCTGCCGTGTCCGAGCGCGTTATCAAGACCATCAAGTCAAGAATGTATAGATATTTCACACACATAAGGAATTACGAATACATGACAAAACTCCAGACGTTCGCCGACTGCTACAACAAGACGTATCACAGGACCATTGGGACAGCTCCAACTAAGGTTAACAAAAATAACGAAACAACTGTCTGGTGGAGGATGAACTGGCCAAAGAAAGAGCCGATCTTACGAAAGAGTAAAAAAATTCGTAAACCGTTCAAGTTTAAAGTAGGGGATAAAGTGCGTTTGTCACATCCCAGAAATCCATTCACACGGGAATACAACGAGAGATGGACGGGGAAATATTTACCATTGCTCAGAAGATCCTACGTGGAGGCTTACCTGTGTACAGAGTCACGGATTACGATGGCGATGAAATTAAAGGTACTTTCTATCAGTCCGAGCTACAGAAAGTTGACGTAAGGGAAGATGACATGTGGAAGGTAGAAGCCATTTTGAAGACCAAAGGAAAAGGTCGTAACAAACAACACTACTTGAAATGGCTTAACTGGCCTAAGAAATTCAATTCCTGGATACGCGCGTCTGATATAACCGATTTGTAGGAGAGTGAACTACCCTAGAAAGGTTCAAGACCCCATGTTATGGAAAAGAGCATAACATTAACATATATCGCTTCAGTATCATAACATGGGTGGTAGATGACTCTCATGTAGATGTAAATATTATCCATGGTAGAATAGGTAATATTTGTAAGGATGGATGTGGGATGGCTCCCCGACCCACGTTCATTCCATCGCGACGGGGAAAATAAAATGTTGTACATATATTTGCGCTGTTATTGTATTAGAAGATTCAAGAACATCACCGATCCGGTTGAAACCGGTTTGAGTATTTATAAACGCGATGCAATCGGACCGCTACAAATAGATGCAGTAAGGAAAAACCACAATACATGAGAACCCCCCTATGACATCATCGATCGGTACCCCCCTCGTATATAGGTTGTCGCTATAAATAGATGCAGTCAAGAAAACCCCAAATACATGAGAACCCTCCTGTGACTTCATCGATCGGTACCCCCCTGTCGATGGGGGGTGCCACTAGGGCGGTGCCAGGGAGGTGGTAAGGATTATATAGGGGAGTGCACCGGATGACCCTGCGCCAGAAACGGTACTTTTGTACTACTATCAGTATTGGATAGCAGTTTGATGATATGCACAAATCAGTCCTGACTGACCTCCAGGGGCTGATGAGCGGGGCCAAAAAGGGTCAAATTGACTAAAATTTCAAAAATCTTCTTCTCAAGATCCAGATAAGGTAGAATCAAATACTCTTCATAGATGGAAGGGTCTTAAGGTGCTTTACCAAAATTGTGAATTTCATGACCCTGGGGTCTCACGTTTTCCCTTGGGGAGGGGGTAAACTTTACTACAGTTTAGTTGTGAATTATATGGTCCCCAGCCCCCAGGGGTCTGAGGGGCGGGGCCAGAAAGGGTAAAATTGACTAAAATTTCAAAAATCTTCTTCTCGAGATCCAGATATGGTAGAATCAAATACTCTTCATAGATGGAAGGGTCTCAAGGTGCTTTACCAAAATTCAGCTGACTGACAGAACCACTATTTGTACATAGTACATCTTTCACACTACTTTTGCATTACATGTAGTTCAAGTTACCTTTGTTACAAAATGAATTCTTTTTCATTTGGCAACATCGATAACATCAGTTTTTACATAAATCAGGTGACCGTTAAGGCCCATGGGCCTCTTGTTGCTAATTAATGTCTCCTAGGCCTGGTTATCCCGTTGTCAGTGCTGTACATTAAAGAGATAAACTGGCCCTGGAGTGGCTTGTCCTCTGTAGAGAGCTTCTTTACACGACTTGACATAAAACACGTTATAAGCAAACAAACAAAATGGAAAACCAATATTCTAGTTATTGATTTGTCAGATTTTTTGACAGATAAGGATGATCATAAGGGCAAAGTGAAGTTCCCTTTTCCGCTTTACTCGTCTCACGAACTCCAAATGTTTTGACTTAGCAACGCGAAAGTTTTAAACACTTACTATCTCACAATATGCAAACCCCAAATAAAGGTCCTTTAAAACGATGATTGTATAATGCCAAGAAAATCGAATGTTTAAAACTTCATTTAGTGATCGTAAATAAAAATAAATCCATTTTGTATCTCGAAGTGTCTGTAAATCAAAAATTCAAATTAGTACTACGAAAAACACTAAATGAACAATAAATAAACAAATAATAAATCAACTGCCTGTTCTTTATGCTCTTCTGTGGTACAAGGCAACTTAGGCTGACATTAAAAATCTATTCGCCGTGTAATAAAAAAAAGAATGAACGTTGAATTTGAGAAGTATTTGAATTATCACAGCTATTTAAAGGCTATTTTTTATATAAAAGTTTGATTTTGATAAAAAAAAAAAGCTGTTACTTACCGAAGTCTGCTTTTTATGAGAGCTGTTTCTTTTTTAAATAATATTATAAATTGGAGTTGTTTGAAAAACATGACACATTTTCAAAATAGTCCCGAGAACATTTATGGCATTTTTTTCCACCTTGTCCATTTAACTCACTCACATGTCTTACATTGAATAGTGCAAAATATTAAAACGCATTATATAATATATACTACTTGATAAATGCTTACAGGAGATGTTATGATCTGGTCAGACTATATCTCGTCTGACATCTGGTGTTGTCGCTCCTTCGTGGGCGCTGTTGCTGCATACCGGAACTTTACATCTGGTTTCTGGCATTATGTCTGGTGTGGGAGTGTAGGTCGCCACTTTGACATCTTCAGATCGACCCTTCAAAATCACAACATCCTACAGTTGGCGGGTCCACAGTGGTGATGTTCTCACTGTGTGTCGTTGTGCGACTTCCACTCCTTGTCCCCTCGCTGGTGCCATATCCAGCATAACGCACTCGGCTTGCTCTCCCAAGACCCTGACTGCCTTCTGTCGGTCTTTGCTGCGTATCCCCAGCGCGTGGAACGTCTTCCACACAGAATAGGCTGGGTATTCACGGCAACCCACTTCTATCGGAAACTGCAAGATCTTCCATCCTCGTGACTGGCAGGTCTCATTGAGCTCCCAATACTTGGCGCTTTTCCTCTCATGGGCCTCGTCGCATCTCTCTTCCCAGGGCACCGTCAGTTCGATCATGAAGATTTTCTTGTCTTCGGCTGATCATAGTACCACATCTGGTCGAAGTGTTGTGTAGGCTACATTTTGGAAGACTAACTGCTTGCCAAGGCAAACTGTCTTCTGCCATAATGAACCATCTAGCAGGCTGCTGGTTTGATGTGATGATGGTCTGGGTTTGTCTCCTGCTCTAACAAATTGGATCCCTGTTTTTCTCGGAACCTGTTGTTTGCTTGACTCTCCTCTTCTTCCTCTCAAGTGTATCTGCGAAGATTCGGAGAACCTGGTCGTGTCTCCATCGATATCGCCCTTGCTGTAAAGCCTCTCTGCATCCAGACAAGATGTGGGCCATTGTAGCACGAACTCCACATAGCTTGCATCCTGGATCTTCCTTCTATCGAGCCCCATTTCAGCAGATTAGTTGGCGATGGCAACACACATAATTATGCATTATATAATAAATGCTACATGCATTATATGATATATACTACATGCATTATATAATATATACTACATGCATTATATAATATATACATACTACATGCATTATATGATATATACTACATGCATTATATGATATATACTATATGCATTACATAATATATACTACATGCATTATATAATATATACTACTTGCATTATATAATATATACTACTTGTCATTTAAAAATCAGAATAATTAGACGGTTTGGCGTACAGTTTCTAAAATCAACCGATTTTTATTTAAATTAATTTTGATATTCAACAGAAACCTGATGATACTTTAGTCTATTCTTCCACTTACAATGCAAAGTAAATTAAAGAATATCTATGTTTTATTGTGTTTGGATATACAATGTATATATATATACAAACCGCCATAGTCTTGTTTGATGATACCTTTGATATTTTAAATTACACCAGGTTACTGTTCACCACTGGATGTCGGAATACTCAGGGGTCGGAATGGAAAGTTTTCATTATTTGCAATTAATTCATTGTGTGTTGAATACCTCAGTGACGTGTACAGTCCTCGACATGTGTCCATATCTAAAATATACTCCAACCAGTCTTACCTCTCATAATGCAGTAAATGTAATGTACTCCACTATATACTTTACCCCAACAACACTCTCTTTAAAACCCTTTTGCACCTCTTTCCCTTCTTCCTCACCCATCCTCTTCTCTTCCATATACCTATATCTACATTTGTAAATGCAAAATATTAGCCAGTGCCGTCCAATCGCCGTTTTACAAAGAAAGGAGACAGGTTAACATACAAATACCTTGTACTTGTTTTCGCATCCTTTATGTATATATCATGTTTGTATAACTGGAATATTATACCGATAATAAAATAAAGTTAAAACTAAATATTTTAAAACTTCTGAAATTTATTTCTCGAATCATTTATCAGTTATGCTAGTACTGTATAAACGAATAGAAAATGTGTGTTTTTAATTAAAGGAATCTGAATCAGATATCGGGTGTATCGCATGTAATTATATACTACGTATACTCTAGACCTAGCTACATGTAACCAATCCATGACTGGATAATATCTTCAAAGCATGGTACAAGTGCATTTACATTTGGACGTTTTGTTTAAACTCTTAAAACAATACATCGTGAGCTAGGTATAAACTATTTGTAGACATGATTTTTTTATATCATGTTTACAGATATTTTAATTATTTTATATACGGAACTACACAACTTTTCCTTATATATAAGACATAAGTAGGTCCATGGTATGATTGTACCCGGTTGTGTTACACCAAAATATAGTTAAATGTGGTATATATATACTCAGGTAAAAAAGGAATTACCTGAGAAAGGTGAATCACCTATTTATAATGAGACGCGGTCATGCGTAAGAGAACGTCACAAGCTAGATAATTTGAACGGGGAGCTTTAACTAGGACCAGCTGATCACCAAGCAAGTAATATATACGTACCTCTGGGATTTACCGGAAACACGAATCGTGAGTATACCTTTTAACATTTCCACAGTGTGTCGTTTCTTAATTTATCATGAAACTAAGACGTAGCTTTGATGTAAAATCACGTAAACAAGCCAATGTATTATCAATATGTATAAGAATACACACTAGTCGAGTAAATATGTACTGTCCATTATAACTCCTTCCCCGTGTGAGGATGTCAATAGTGTGTAACTAATGTTTGTGTCATGATTATAAAACTTCCCGTCTAACTTGTGGGTCATTATGATACCCAGTCATCAAACCATTACTAGGTTGTCTTCACCTAAATATAGGATGTTAATATAAAGATCACAGGGACGTGAATTTGTTACAGCTATATATGGACCTAAGCTAAGTTGTTCAGAGAAATTTTACATGTTTTAGGTGTTTAGATCGACTTTTGGTAATAATTATTTCAGAAGTGATCATATCGAAAGTCGATGTAAACCCTTAAAACATGTAAAATTACTCTGAACACCTTAGTTTAGGTCCAAATATATAGCTGTAACAAATTCTCAGGTCCCTGTGATAGAGACATCCGGGTACCTGTCAAACAAAGCTTTCCAGTAACAGATTAACATTTTCACCTGGGGCGGGCGACGTCTGTCCTCGTCCTACCTGTAATTACCAGGTGTGATATACTACCCGGGTAACGCGGTGACATTGACAGTGACTCGCCAATTCAAGGAGAAATGACGATAGGAGTGTAAAGTAAGGCGCGGAATGAATTAATGAAAGAATGGCAGTTACACACAAATATACTCTAATACAACTCATTTAAAACAAACATAGAATTGAAATAAGAATAAGATGTGAAAAGTGTCGGTCAAAAATCATCTGTATTGACAATAAGTCATGACATGATCTAACAAGGAAGATTCAATTGTCTGGTATATAGTCGTACACGAAACCACGGTATTAGATTTCTATCTAGTCCGTGACCAAACTTAAGATTAAAGGGGTTTGTCAGATTTGAAACTAACCGAGGTTTAAGAAGAACACTTCAATATTTTTTATTTGATGCTTTCTGCGGAAAAAATATTAATTGGTGTATATTGATTTGGATGTAATATGTAGCTGAAAATTATGTTATTTCTAACGAATTACCATGCCCTCGAAAACCTGTCTTCTCAGAGACATAGAAAATCATGGAAACGGAAAACAAGAGAAGAAACTTATGACCGATATATTACAACTAAGCAACATTACATTGATGACTTTTTCAGTAAAAAACCTATATTTCTGAATTTGCAGATCACGAGTAACGATGGGATCCCGAACCCGAGGGGATGAAAATGGACCCTCCAAGGAAAAGACACATGCTTACGACAACAAGGGAATGGACACGTCCAGTGTCTACACCATAGATAGCTCCCAGCAGATCGGGGGTTCCCGGGACACGATCACAACAGGAACCCCGGGGCGGAGGGGCTCCTTCTCATCCGCTATGGAATCTAGTTTGCAGGGGTCAAAATCTTCTCTTCCCTCCCTCCCTCAGTCCTCAGGCAAGCCCAGTGTGGCCGCCTCCACAGCCGAGCTGATGGATGGGAGCGGCGGCTCCTCCCAGGGGGAGGGGGAGAGGGAAACTTGGGATAACAAGGCCCAATATATTCTGGCTGTAGTAGGTTACGCAGTGGGACTCGGCAACGTGTGGAGGTTCCCCTACCTGGCCCAGAAAAATGGAGGAGGTAACGTCTCTGCTACAATTACATGTTGTGTCCAACCAGGTTCACTTTTCCATGTGTATGTGTGACGCTTCGATGACAAGTACACGTACTTTACATCTGAGAAACATCACACATAAACATATCCAATGGTTGTTCTATATACAACTCTATTTATCCATACTTACCAACCCCAATAAAAAGGTTACGTCAAATTGATTATCTGAAGGAACTTGAAACTCCATTATTATTTTAAATATATATACCATCATTTCTCGTGATAATTTAAATCATATCTCATATGTGTGAAACTGACACCATGGAATGTGCGTCGAACTATTGCGCAGATGTATTATACTTTTGTATATTTTTTTCCGTTAAAATAATATTTCGATCTTATCAACAACATTACCTATACACAGACTAAATATGGAGTACAGGTTTTGAGTTCCAATTATATAAACCTGATGTACAATAAATGATTCTTATGGGTTTTTTTCGCTTAAAATGGAAAAAAATCCCTCCTGTTACGACAACCTGTTATCACCCGCCATACATGTTTTACGCTTGTTATCGTGACTAATTACCAACGGTGAGTTTTCCTGTCGCCATCATTAAAGATTATTTCTTTAGATCTTAACCCGTTTGTGACCTACATGTACACTCATTCCTTGTTTGATTATGTCATTTTAACAAAATTTAGAGTCTCTTCTCATCGTTTGAGTGTTGAGGTAGGCCGTAGGCACAGACCGAACCCTATTCCATATGAGAATCGTACATGTAGTTGTTGTGGGGTTTTAGAGGACGAGTATCATTTCCTTATGGAGTGTACCTTATATTCTAACATCAGACACATGTATATCAAGAGAAGGTATTTTCATCACCCAAATAGACCGAAGTTCCTGGAATTAATATCGACTACGAGCAAGAGTACATTGAAAAATTGCCCCTTTCATTTTTAAAGCGAACATTAACTTATTTAATCAGGAGTAACGTCCGCTCTGATGTCGTGAAACCTGCATTTAAGTATGGAATGTCACTGTTTTACTTTATTATATATATTTATGTAAATGTAATGCATTGTGCAATGTATTTATGGCACAAAGACATTTGTGTCTATTGCTGAATAAAGATATATATATATGTTTTATAATATGGGTCAAAGAAGTAATATAGACGGTAAAATCCCATAAAATACTGGATCCTATGTTTTATAATAACAACCGATACGGACACCTGTGGGTTGTGTGATTCACCAGTATACATTATGGCCGTACGTTTTCCTATATCATATCCAAGCTAGATATCTTAACAGATTTGAATTATTAATATATATATTTCACAATCGAGTGAATAAAAAGCACTGGCGGCGTATTTTGTGACACAAAAGGGTTGTTTGCTACAATAAAGATGATCAAAGATAACACTGTCCTGGTTTTTCCACAACTCGTCATACCCGGAAGGTTAAAACAAAGTTAGGTCAGGTATGCTTGTAGATCTATGTTATACACATACAGGTGTACAACACTAACAGTACATCGGCTACCATACACTTAACACTGTTTGATTCGAAACTGAATTTAATAACTCATTATTTAAATAATTTGAAATTGATATACATATTTTTTTTAAACATCTGTGTTGACGCTATTTAAATCGTTCCCTACCAGGTCTAAATACTTATGGAATCCATACCTTATTCAAGTAAAGATTTATTTACCTATAGTAAACCTTTTCTTTAACTTTTCAACAGTATGTGTATTATCCTATCCGAATTCCGTACTGCTGTGTGTATAATATCATTATATATATATGATAGCATACCATCTTATAGAATGTCTTTCTCGTCCTCATTTCCAAATGGTACTTCAGCTAATCTCTGATTTAGCGGTTTACGCTGGGAAACATAACAATTAATTAAACTCACCCTTTTTCTAATACTTTCCTGTTGGTGGTGCCTGTCTGGTTGGCTGATAACATTTTGCTATAATGTGTTTTATTCTATTATCGTAGATTTTGTAACACCAAATAAAAATGAACAAAGTAAGATAGACGTTTGACGCCAATATGACTGTTTCCGGTCACGTGTGCTCGTAAAATTTGACTTGTATAAATTTGATACATAAATTACGATAATCGCTCTCTCACATCGATTTGATTGATTCCCCAGGTGCCTTTCTGATTCCTTACACCATAATGCTGGCCATAGAGGGTATCCCAATTTTCTACCTGGAGCTGGTGGTGGGTCAGCGCCTGCGTAAAGGTGCTATAGGCGCGTGGAACCAGGTGTGTCCCTACCTTGGAGGTATCGGGATCGCCAGCTGTTTTGTATCCTTCTGGGTGGCTCTATACTACAATACTATCATCGCCTGGTGTATCTACTATCTGGTACAGAGTTTCCGGGACCCTTTACCTTGGGCAAGCTGCCCGGAAGTACCAGACGCAGTCAGCGGTGGTAGTAAAGTGGTGACGGAGTGTCAGGTAGATCAATGTTTGACGTAGAATGGGGATATGCATTTTTAAACATCCAATGCAAACAATGGTGGCAAAATTGAAGTAAATTCTTAAACAAAACGACGGGTGCCATAGTGCTGATACTGTTTTACTTAATACCAACAATGTTTTTATTGAATACATTCGCCTCGCATAAAGTAGTATATCGGGATAATCAAAATAAAGTTAACTTTATTTTATAATTATTTTCTTTTTACCAATTGTTAGTCACACTCATGTCTTCGTCTAAACATCACTCTGCTCTTTTTTCTGCAGATGAGTGATCCCCGGTCGTACTTCTGGTATCGCGAAGCCCTAAACATCTCTCCCTCGGTGGAGGAGGGAGGCGATCTCAACTGGTGGATATTGGTCAGCCTCATGGTGGCCTGGCTCATCGTCTTCCTCTGCATGATCAAGGGCATCGCCTCCTCAGGAAAGGTGAGTACCTCTGTCAATCGGCTCCTCTCGAAAGATGATTAATGTACACCGGTCCTCTTTAACCATAATAACGAGATTATGGTTACGAAAAATAATTTTGACACAAGGAATATGCTTAGATAGTGGTACCAAATTCAATAGACGTATCACACCGGAAAATTCAGCCTCTATATAGCATACCGGTAGACTTGGTCGATTATATAGCTTGGTATAAGACAAAGATACCTGGGTCTCTTTCCATGAAACCAATCTCATGTTCAAACTCAACTCAGATTCTGTGCTCAAGCCCAATATTTTGTTTCCTTGATAAATCAAGTAAGAAATCATGTTTTGTCAATAATATTGAAGACTTAAAGCCGAATACGGTTTTCAATGTTCACATTTGACTTTTTGACCGTGTTACATGATCTAAGCGAGTTACAAGAAAATCAGCTTGAGCTTGAAAATGGTTTCATGAATACGGGCCCTGATCAATCGGAAATTGCCATCCACTGACTTAAAGCTATATCACTTCAGTTTTATGAAGTTATTGCTTTGGGATTATTGATGCAGGGACTTGTTTTCTACACGGGGGTGGGGTGGGGG